TAGATAGATAGATAGATAGATAGATAGATAGATAGATAGATAGATAGACAGACAGACAGACAGACAGACAGACAGACAGTAGAGTGCATAGAGCACCTAGGAAGACCTGAGTTCAAATATAGTCTCAGATACTTATGTTACCCACAGCAAATTATTTAATTTCTCTCAACCTCAGTCTCCTCATTTGAAAATGAGAATAATAATAGCACCTACCTCTAAAGAGGGGAGAGGTTAGTAAGGATAAAAGGAGATAACATTTTGTAAAGCACTTTGCAAACCTTAAAGCATAATATAAATGTTAGCTGTTGTTATTAGTGGTTATTCAGGAGTTCCTCAATCAAGTTAGTGAAATTTAAGGATGAGTTACTTGATCAACTTAGCAAGGCTCAAGGATGGTCAATCTTTCTCAGGCATTTTTAGTGCATTTACTATTGAAGGTGTTTTCTGAACATACTCAGAAACATGTTCCTGAGGAGAATATTTCTTTTGTCTCATCAGTTGGGGATCTTGGTTGGCTCAGGTTGTTTTGGGACAGAATTATTTTCTTTGTATTGGGCTGATAAAAAGAAGTCTTCATTTCAGACTTGACCATTTTGGAAAAACTACAGAAAGAGTTTTCCCCATAGGTTTGTAAACCTAGACATGAGCTGTATTCATTTCTTTTCTAAGGTTACCAAAGGAAGCACAGGAGTTAGGGATAGGAACTACTCCTGTGAATTCATTGATATAGGAATCTCCTGGGTGAGCCAACTTCCTCTACCAATGCAGCTGGGCACCTTCTCTGAAATTTGTAGTCTTACAGAGTTACCTCTAGCACTTAAAGGTTAAGTAATTTGCACAAGGTTACACTGTCAGTATGTTTCACTGGCAGGACTTGAACCCAGGCCCTCCTGACTTCAAATCCCATTGTCTCTCCACTATTCCACCTCGCCTCTGAGACTGAGCCCACTACCTACTCCTAAGTCTAGAACTCTGAGTTGGGGGCCTATGGATGACCAAAAAAAAATCCAAATCCAAAAATGTTACATTCTTGGGTGAAAGACAGGTGTTCTCACTTCAGCAAAACGGCCTATGGCTAAGCCTAAAGAGAATTCTACCAGAAGTAAGCATTAGAACAGATGCTCTAACAGCTTTGGGGTCTTGATTCCATTCAGTTCATTAACCATGCTTAAAGAACAAATACTTGCAACCACTGTGGACATTCTAAAGAATATGTTGCAGACTCTGAAGGCAATTTGAAGAGGGGGAACTCCAAAAGGGCTTGGAGCCAATGGACCATGCTTGGAATATGCACAATAGCTCCCAAGCCAACTACCCTGAAGGGGATGTGACTTTTTTGGACAGAGGAGCTTTTCTGTGCTGTGGACACATTTGCCTCTCACTGACTCTGGATGCTCTTTCTATTGTCCTTGATAAATGTAAAATTCTTTGTTGCAATATTTAAAGGTTGCTGATTACTAAAAATGAATATGTATTTTCTACGTTAGCAGATTAGACTGTGCTCCAGTGAAAGAGATTATTGTCTGAGCTTTGTAACTTCACCAGCAACTAGTCTAGTTGCTATGTAAGTAATGAGTGCTATTAATATAGTGTTTGTTGACTGACTTGCTGAATGTGTTGACAGTCTTAATTAGGGTAGCCGCCTCCCCAACAAATTCCATATCCATCCCCCCCACATTCCTCTCTCTTTACTACCATTTCCTCCCCCAACACTATCTCAATATTCATCTCGCCTCTCCCCATCCCCATTTCACTCCACATGGATATCTTTCTGTAGCCATAGTGTCTTCTTACTGTGTGTGTGTATGTGTATGTATATATATATATACACATACACATACACATACACACACACACACACACACACACAAGTATCAGTACCTCTAACTCCCCTGATCCACAGGTGTTTGCAATGCAGAGTGAACGTGGCCTATCTTCCAAGGCCTGGTTTCTCTTAACTAAGGCAAGGCAAAGAACTGAGTTAGGTGTCCCAGCCTTTCAGGCAATAGTTTCCTTATTTCTCTTCATTGATTTGATAGCTTATAAGCAGTTTGATATTTAAGGCCTTCCCTGATTAAATTCCCTGTCACCACCTCAACTACCATGTACTGGCCTATGGCAAAAAGAAATAAAATACATATTACACCTGCTTAACTTAACTTGCAGGAAAAAACAAGTGCCTATTTCAGGTCTTGTGAAGGGAATGTCCACAAATGTTCCCTTTTTGACCATGAGCAGCCAGCCTGAAGAGGCCAAGGAGGCAGTCCTAGGTGTGACCCAGTGCCAAAGCTTCAAAATAATTATAGGAAAAGTCATGGGAAGCAGATGTAAGAAAGATACCATTTAAGGCTTTTTTTTACTATCAGGGTGGAGCCAGTTGGCAGGCAGGTAGTTGTTGAAACAAATTATATTTAACTTAATCACTTTCTATACAAACACAGCTTAGACTCTCTTATCCAACAAGCCAATTTCTGTACACTAAAAGTAATGAAACTTGGCCTAAATGACCAAATACCATAAAGACCACTCCAAGCATAAGTTGCAACCCTAAAAAGAGATCTCTTTAATAATAACAGCAACAACAGCAATAATAATTAGTATTCTATGTCATGTTAAGGTTTGCAAAGTGCTTTACAAATATCTCATTTTATCATCACAACAACCTTGGGAGGTAGGTGCTATTATTATCCCCATTTTACAGATGTGGAAACTGAGGCATGCAGAAGTTAAGTGACATACCTAGGCACACTTACTACTAGGTTTTTGAAGCCCAATTTGACCTCAGGTCTTCCTAACTCCATGTCCAACATCTACGTACTGTGCCACCAAGCTATCTATAAATAGAGCATTCAATATGTATTTTTTCCTCACAAAGAAGAAGGAATATATACTGAAAGATAGTTGCAAAAAATGACCAAACAAAAAACCTTTTTATATTTTAATGATCATGAAGGAGATTTAAAAAAAAAAAGTCCTAGATCCTGTTTCTTGATTTTTTTTTTTGTGACATGGAAGACTTGAACAGTTTAGT